ACAAGAAAATGAAAGAAAAGGGCAAACAAAAGATTTACTGGATGTTGATGACACTGACGGCAATTACCAAGTACCGATTTTTGAAGTAACGATTAATTAAAACATTTTTCTCTGTATATATTTATTCTAATGAAATGAGAGTCTTTAAGAGCATATTTTTAACTTCACTGGTAGTCCAGGAAACATAGAGTTGGACTTTTTGTTTTGGAAACCTGAATTTATCACTATAGATGCTAAATATTATGTACAACATACTAGCAAAGTCTAGATTAATATACTAAACTGTGATACTAGTTTCCACAGTCATAAAAATGGGGGAAGATTGTTTACAGGGTGGTTAATTGTATAATTTTTACGAAAATTCACGTTTTTCGTTTATAACTTTTTTCCGTTCATTTCCACGAGAAAACCGTAACGTAATTTTTCTTTCGTCTTCAAAAGACCTACAAAACTAGCCCTCGAGGGTCAAAAATATTGATTAGATCAAAAGTTATAAACAGAAAAAGTTTATTTATGACTTTTGAATTAAACATTTATAAACTGCGTTATTATTACCAGAACGTTTTGGCATCGCATCCTCTCATTCCTTATCAATGTCTAATAACTCACACGAAATCTGGAATCGGTAAGTTGAATAGTGTACAAGTTATGGCCTTATAAACAAATTAACTAATTAGTCTGGACGATCCCGAAGATCTTCCATAATCGCATTGATTTTTTTCATAATAATACATTGAAATCTATCTTTTTTTTAATTTCAAATTTGCAACCTGGATTTTTTTTTTCAGCCTTAGTTGCAAAATGAAATATACGACGCACGAGCGTGATATAGTTATATATTATTACATATTCGGAAAGCTTATGAAAATAACTTAAAGTTAAAAAAAAATCGTCAAGAATCGTTGAAAAACAACGGAGTTACAGACTAAGGAAGTATTTTTATTTATTTTTCATTTTGTATGTACGTCTTTTATAATAGCAAAGATACTTATTTTACAACATAAATTAGTTTTATTTATAATTAGTGACGCATATACATACCAATATTAGTAGATATTTGATAAATCACCCAAAAAAAATCCGTCCAATTTTTTGTCGACTTCCTTTTATATAAAATATTTAAATACCTCTTTTCTGAAGTAGATTCATGTGGAATTTACGATTACAATTTTTTTTTTCAAAAACCGTATCAAAACGAAACGAAAGAGTTGTTGAGTTAATTAAACATACCTAATATTACGTACTATAAATACAAGGCAATGTTCCAGAAAAAATGTATCAAATTTATCTACCGTAGGTAAATATTTTATTCCATACTTTTGTCAACATCTTTTTTTGAGTTAGTACTAAAATGGGACTAATTTCACACCTTTACCACTTACGAAACGGCATCGGCAGTCAGATTTTGAAATAATAATAAAATAATAACACATTACTTTATTGTCGTCTAATCTCTTGATTTGTTTTTCTCCAGCCGCTTTCTGACTAACAATAATTTGAAACTGGCCTGTTAATGTGGATTCGTTAATATTTTGCCAAACATTAGCCATTCTTCTAGATATTAGTCTTTTCCAGCAGCTCATTATTATATTCAGTGTACACGCTTATGTCTTCGTCATGTTTTTTGTTGATTTCATGTCTAAAACTTCAATGCTTACTGGACTCAAATTATAACGTAATAATATCTCGGTTGACAAATAAATTTAATTAATATAACATATGACGCGTAATATCGAGTAAATGCGAATACTTTGTTTTTAATCTTACGTTAGGCGGTTGTCAAATTTCAATAACATTAACGCGAACTCTAATAATCCTACTTTGCTTTGCCCGGGACTGATATACAGGGTAGCCCATCGAAAACGTACCGCAAGGCATTACAGGGTAGTAATGAACTTTTCGGCAAAATCCAAGAACAGGTAAAGTTTGCTTCTGAGGGGGACAACTTTTGGCGCAAAAAGCATAGCAAAATCTTCAACCCCCTAAGTGGGGGTGCCATCCCCCAAATTTTTTTAAATGGGAATGGGGGTCAAGTGGGGGGTCATTAGAAAGGGCTTTTAATTCTCTATACATCGATTCTTACTTTTTGAAAATCGATCCATTATTTTAGAAAATATGCAGCTTTGAAAATACGAACAATATTTTTGACGAGAAATGCGAAAATCGATTTAATTTTACTTCAAAACTTACGGTATTAGCTTGGTAAATTCCTTCAAAAGAATTCGCTGTTTTTTTTTCTGATTTGCGAATTCTTTAGCCTGATTTTGGTGAGCAAAAAATTGTCCGCTTTTTGTTTCGTATTTAGATAGGCCACAAGAAGTTGCTAGATAACTGTCTTGTGACTTGTAGTTGAAGAGTACCAATACTGCCGAGTCTTTTAAATTGATTAATTATGGTGTACTCAATTCCAGAAAGAGTAGAAATTATTGAGCTTTTTTTCAAAAACAATGAATGCGGAAATCGGGTCGCCGAACTGTTCAACCAACGGCATCCTGAGAAACATGCGTCTGGAAAAATTGTTCGCGAATTGGTGGCCAAATTTCGCGAAACTGGCTCCGTTCATAACAAAAAGAGGCAGGTTGAAAATCCGGTACTAAATGAACCTACGGAAATAGCGGTATTGGGGCAAGTGGCAATGGATAGTACGCTGAGTACAATGCAATTGGCTACTGCGACAGGAGTGAGTCGTACAAGTGTCCAACGAATATTAAAAAAATACAAATTCCATCCTTATAAGATTCGGCTAGTGCAAGAGCTAAATGAAGACGATTTTGATCGTCGTTTGCAATTTTGCGAAATAATGACTGAACGAGCGATAAATGATAATTTCCTCTTTAATGTGTGTTTTTCGGACGAGTGTGCGTTCTTCTTGAATGGTTTAGTGAATCGCCATAATTGTCGTTACTGGGCTGATACCAATCCAAGGATTTTCCATGAGACACACTCCCAACACCCCCAGAAGTTTTGGAAATTCCATTGTAGGTCCTTTTTTCCTTCCTGGAAATTTGACAGGCGATATGTACTTCATTTTACTGAATTTTACTACAAAATGTCATCGACCCAGCTCTAACAAATATCATAGAGGACGACCCTGCTTACAACCCAGTAAGCATGCATTCGTTTATTAAACGTTTTTTAAACGTTGATATCGTTGAAATAACGTGATACGTTGATAAATTCAACGTTGATAACTTGTTGAACAGTTACGTTATATATTTCACGTTAAATATACGTTTAAATAAACCAGTATTCAACAGTCAATTACTTAACAACGTTAAATCACGGTTTTCCATTAACTACTAAATAACGTGATAAAATTACGTTAAATAAAACGTATAACTTGACGTAATTATTACCAATAAGATTTTTTAACCCACCATACAACGTTTTTGTTAAACAATTTTATAACATTGACGCAACGTGAAAATATAACATTTATTAAACGTTGTATCACCGTTTTCCCTTACCTACTAAATAACGTGTTAAAATTACGTTAAAAAAAACGTATAACTTGACGTAATTATTACTAATAAGACTTTTTTAACTCACCATTCAACGTTTTTGTGAAACAATTTTATAACATTAACACAACGTAAAAATATAACGTGTATTAAACGTTAAATCACCGTTTTTCATTAACTATTAAACGATGTATTAAAATTACGTTAAATAAAACGTACAGCTTGGCGTAATTATTACCAATAAGAGTTTTGAACTCACCATACAACGTTTTTGTGAAATAATTGTATAACATTGACACAACCTAAAGATATAACGTTTATTAAACGTTAAATCACCGTTTTCCATTAACTATTAAACAATGTATTAAAATTACGTTAAATAAAACGTACAGCTTGGCGTAATTATTACCAATAAGGGTTTTAAACTCGCCAAATAACGTTTTGTCAAATAATTTTATAACATTGACACAACCTAAAGATATAACGTTTATTAAACGTTAAATCACCGTTTTCCGTTCACTAAAAAACAAATAACGTTATATAAAATGTAAAAATTGACGCAATTTTTCCCAGTAAGTATTTTTAACTACCAAATAACGTATATAACATGTATAAATGTAACGTTTATTAAACGTTAAATTGTTAAACGTTAAAACGTTATCAAAATTGTGTTATATATATTTCTCTGGCCATTACTGTAAACATTATATTCTCTGTTGTGTAGGGGTACCTACTTTCTTTTCGATGCTAAGTCACTGTGCATTTTTGAGTTGGGAAATATACTTAATGTCGATAAGTTTAGATACTTCTGATGAAGTACCTATGAAAAATTATACATTATACATTACCTTTACGTGTGTAGTGTCTACCCATTTTAACTTATCAGTAATATGTTTTAGTCTCATAATAACGTGCATTTCATATACCTTTTATGTCCTTATTCGTTCAATCGGTATAATTTAAATCATTAAACAACGTTTTATTAACGTTCAGTTATAACGTTTATCTACTAGGTACATTCTGGCGTTAATTTCGAAGAAAACCACGTACAGCACTTTGATGCAGAAATATAATCCACAAAGTTAAAAAATGCATAGTTGTTATAGTTATACCATATCTCATTTTAACTAATCAGTATTATACATCATAGGTGTCATGTCAATAGATAATAATATAACTTTTTTTAAAATAGTCTATTTAAACCTTGTTCATGTAGTCTCAAAACGTTGGGCCGTATTTGAATTCCAATCTATTACATAACATGGTGTTTTTATTCATATATGTAGTGAATTATTTAGAGAAGCTTGTTCTTTTTTTACAAATATGCGTAATCTGAACGCAGCTACTATGCTGTTAGAAATTATCATTAGGGAACGCGCCCCCAGCTAATTTCTGTTGATCTGTTTTGTTTTGTGTTCGTGCCCTTACCACCAGACATCAGACCACATGTTACACACGTGTTTAGGGTTTTGGCTGCTATGGCGTAGTTTTCGTGCATGGTACTGCTCAACACAGCCTATATTACATACATCTATAGCTGTTTTGTAATCGTCGTTCAAGTGGTCAACACGAAGTAAGTATTAATTATTACTTATTTGTACATAGACCGTAAAAATAATGAAATTTGTGTAGTTAGATTGCTAGATTGTCTGATATGTGTAATTAGTTTTTACTTAGCATGGTTGTTTACTATAAGAGGGCCACCTCCATGTATCTCGCATACCACGAGACAAGTACATCACAAATCTTTAAATGTTTGTTGTTTCATTTTGGGAGCCCTTTATGTTCGTAAAAACAAATTTGATATCGATGGCCAACTTTATAAGTAATAATAAAAAAAAAACTGAAAAATTCCGAAACTTTAGGGCTGTCTAACGACTTTATTTTAAGAAATAGAGAACTTATTTTGATAAAATTCGATTGCAAAATTGATACCTTTTACCTGTTATAAACATATTTCTGAAATATAGTATGTGGCTTGCTGCGCCCCTTAGACGGGCAAACGAAAAGTTCCTATTGAATCAAACTATGGCCACAAAAAAATTGCTTATTTTTTCCTCCTTCATGCGATGTGTACTAATGTGGCCCTTATCTTTTATATCTATTACAAGTTTTACAATTTTGATATAAAAAATGTACTTAAACATTTTTGTGTTACTCAAATCAATGTTTTAAACAGCAAACTAGAATATAGAAGTAATGTAGTTCTTTTAAGGAAAATATAAATTTTCTTATCGCATTATTACAGTATTGGTTTTTACATCAATGATAAGAAAAATCTGTATTTTGCTTAAAAGAACGAAGTACATTCTATGTATTAATTTTTTCGTTGCGTTGTTAAAATAATTTCTACATTAATTTGAGCAACACGAAAATGTTTAGGCATTTTTTATATTAAAATTATAAAAAATGTATAAATATAAAAGATGAGGGCGACATATAGTACATCGCATGAATGAGGAGAAAACAAACAATTTTTTTTTGGCTATAGTTTGCTACGATTTGGTACCTACTTTTCAGGTTTTATTATTATTACTCATAAAGTTGGCCATGGATCTCAAATTTGTTTTTACGAGCATAAAGGCCTTCAAAAATGCAACAAAAAACATTTTAAAGATTGTTGACGTATGTCGTGTAAGAGATACATGGGAATAACCCTCTTAGACAGTTTGTATATCCAGTGTTTCTAATTTTTGCCTTACAGATATTTTAGAGGTACATTGGCACTGTCTTAATACTGATCTGGTTAATATTTGTGTTGACTTATATAACAATGTTAAAAAAAAATTGCAAAATACTGAGTAAGAGACAAATTAATCGTAGGGCTGTGGTTAAATTTCAAAAACTAAAGTCATGTATAAACGACTCAAAATCAAACTTACAACAGTTTTCCATTATAGAGCAAATTGTAAATGAGCAGTCTTCTCGTGTATTTTCGGAGGTACCTTTTGAAACATGTAACGAAATTTCATGTTTAGATGTACCAAACAATATCCAAAATACTTATATTACAAATCAGTCTTTGAGTGAAGATTTTTTTTCTGAAAATCATAATCAATCAGATATCAAAAATGATTTAAGAAATAATTTGCGTTTGTGGGCTACAAATAACAATATTCCTTCAAATTCAGTATTTGAAGGAATCCAAATTATTAAAAATATTACATCCATTGTTAAATTTTTTGCCACTTGACTATAGATCATTGTTGAAAACTCCCACGAGTACTACAACAAAACAATTAAATAATGGTGAAATGATTTATTTCGGAATTTGTAGTAAGGTGACTCTAAGAATCAAAAACGGATTAAAATTTGACACAGACACGATACATCTACAAATTAATATTGATGGAATACCACTTTTTAAGAGTAGTAGTATTGAATTTTACCCCATATTGGGTAGATGTGCTGACTTCAGTGATGACACACCTTTTGCTATTGCCATATTTTCTGGGTCAGGTAAACCCGATTCTTTAGACGAATTTTTTAAAGAATTTATAGCAGAAGTAGATGATTTAAACCAAAATGGAATACTGGTTGAAGGAAAATTGTTTAACTTTAAAATATCCTGTTTTATATGTGATGCCCCTGCAAGGGCTTATATAAAATGTGTAATTAGTCACACAAGTAAATTTGCTTGCGAGAGATGTAGAATTATAGGCAATTATGAAAACCACAGAATAAATTTTGCACAGAAAGAACTTCTCTACTACTCAAAACGGGAAGATAATGATTTTATTTCTCAAACAGATGATCCTCATATTAAAAAAAAATCTCCATTATTAAACATAAATGTTAAATTGATATCTGAAGTACCACTTGATCCTATGCATTTAATTTATCTTGGTGTTATCAAACGACTGCTGCTAAACTTTCTTGTTGAGGGAGTTGCACCCTATAAGCTTTCACAGAAAATATTAAAGTGTATCAATACAGACATTGTTAAAATACAAATGTACGTTCCTTCGGATTTTGCACGTAAACCACGCTCCTTTAAGGAAATTAAGCGCTGGAAGGCAACTGAATTTAAGCAGTTTGTTCTATACACGGGACCTATACTATTGTATAATAATTTGAATGAAGTTTCCTATCATCATTTTCTGTTAATACACTGTGCAGTATATATTTTGTCTTCTCGTTCATTAATATCAAAATATTTTGAAAAGGCTCGTAAGTTCTTAGAAAAATTTGTTATGGACTCTTCTGAGATTTATAGCAACAATTTTGTTGTATATAACGTGCATAACCTGTTGCATATGTGTGATGATGTCTCCAAACATGGAACTATTAATGAATATAGTTGTTTTCCCTTTGAAAATTATTTGGGTTCTCTTAAAAGAAAAATTCGTTCAAATAAAAATTGTTTACAGCAAATTTATAGAAGAGTAAAAGAAATTGAGGGTATCGATAATGCTAAAAATTCTAAAAAAAAAAATGAAAATCCAATACCTAAATTTTTGTACTCAGAGTGTCATGATAGTAATAATAGATTAGTATCATTTAACTGCAGTTCATTGCATTTTAATGATTATGTTTTGTCGACTAAGAAAAAGGATAACTGTGTTATTTTAAAAAGCCACAAAGTTTGTTTGATAACGACAATTCGATTCTTTAATGATGAATTTATTTTAGAGGGTATAATATTTCAATATCATTATGATCTTTATGAAGAACCAATTCCATCCTCACTTTTAAATATTTTCTTTGTAAAAAACCTTAGCATTCAGAATACGATTAATTTTAAAATAAATGACATTTTATTCAAGGGGTATAGAATGCCTTTTAAAAATGGATTTGCCGTTATTCCAATAATGCATACTTTTTAAAAATATTCACAAACTCCCCGATATGATTGTCGTTTTTGCCTGAAAAACGATTTTTGTCAATTGCAGTTTTATTCTAATTATTTAATTGTAAGAAAATACATGGCATAAAGTCTCCATTTATTATACAGATTGTATTATTTTAAGCCATTCCTCTCGCCTCTTATAGAAAAATGTTTGCTGTTGTGGAGTTTGCCAATTCTAAGAAGACTACAAATGAAATTGCAGTGGTTCCATTGACATGGATATACAAAAATGAAAGAAAGTGCTATTGGCCTACAAAACTAGGAAATAAGAAATTCGATGATTTTGTGAAGAGTCAAGGAAGTTATAAAAAATCATGGCCTTCATATAAAATTTTTAAAATTCACTTTAAAACAGGTTTGTAAAATTATGAATTATACTTACCGTCTGGGCACGGACCTAATTATAGGTACCTGTATTTCACAAATATCAAATATGTATATACATATTAAAATTTCTTGAAAAGAATATACTTACCTATTAGATTAACAATGGTAATATATTTGCAATTATTTTTATGTGTAATTATAAACAGTAGTTTAAGGGTCTGAAATTGTAGATGATTATGATGCCGCAGAGGACAAATTGAACCAAATAATTTACCAAACTGAGGACAGTGGAGCAAGTACTGCTTCCTCTACAAAATCGTTAGTTAGAAAACACCATCAAGAACCAGAAACGACCTCATCGTCTTCTGATTCAGAGTTAGAAACATATACGACACCAAAACGTGCACATATGACGCTACCAGGACCAAGCCAGGTTTCACCAAGTCCGAATATATCAACTTTGATTAGGGAAGACTGTACCCCTACATCAAACAAATCAACCTCATCATTTACTGAATTTGTATCAGGTAATTATTATATGTCTGTACATACATAATAGCACATATTTATGTCTCATTAGAGTCACTTTGGAATTGCAAAGAAAACATGTGTTCTATAAAGTTCAGTGAATTTGTTTTTAGATTTTCAAAGCACTGTATTACAATCATTAACCAGATTAACAGAAAATGTGGATCAACATTCGATTATGCTAAATGAGATTGTGAGATCTCTAAGAACTAGTAATGAAACATCTGTGACGCCTCCAGCGGACGAGGACATGCCTAAATTTCCAATAGGTACCCTGCAAGAATTCCAAGGATTCGACAATAAAATTATTGAGAACAAACAAATTAGACAGTATATGGTAGTTAACTCAGAAAGGGATAAAAACAAATTATATTAATTATAAATATTTACAGGTATCACGACTTGCAGCTGTAGGGGGCTCAGGGTTGGAATCTTTAACTAGAAGAATTTTAAAATATTTAATAACAAACGAGGTTGGATGTTTATTCAACTGGAAAGGAAGAGACAAACTGTCTTTTGAAAAAACGGCTATAATGGATGTAATATATGGTAGGTAAATATATGTTAGACATTCAACTCCTATATAGGATTCAAATGTATTGACATGACGTTTCATTTTAAATTTAAGAAAATAATCATTACTCATGTCTACTGCTACTCATAGACTAAAATTTTATTAAGATTTAATAAGCTGTTTTAAACTTTGGTTAATTTGTATTAATAAATGTACCTATTTTTGCAGAAATGTTCCACTATGTTCAAGTTTAAATGCTAATCTACATTTGAAACCTGCACAGGGCGTTTCGCATAATAACCGACACAAAGCAGGTGCATGTAGGGGGTCCCAAAATATTGCAATTTAACAAAACATACCTATATACAAAGACGGAGTTACAAGTGGGGCCAAATATTTCGAAAATAAAATTCTCTGAATTACTTTAACTTGGAATAACCAATTTTGGTACATGATTTAGGTTTATTATTGGTCTTCTTTGACTATGAGTTCAAGTAAATTGAAACACTACAAGGTATTCAGTGAGGGTGAGTCGCCCTTAAAATTATACCAAACTTTTTTCATTGGCGAATTTAAAAAGAATGTATTATCCCGCGCAAAATATAATTTAAAACTCTTTTTTTCTTACTCTTAAATTTTAAAGAAATAACTCATAGTCAAAGAAGACCAATAATAAACCTAAATCCTGTACCAAATTGGGTTATTCCAAGTTAAAAGTAGTTCAGAGATATACATTTTTTTCGATATATTTGGTCTCATTTTGAAGGCCTGTAACACCGCCTGTTTGGAACTTTGTATATAGGTATGTTTGGTTAAATTGCAATATTTTCAGACCCCCTAAATGCACCTGCTCTGTATCGTTCTTATGCAGAACACCCTATATAGTAGTAGTGGATACAGTTAGTTAATTATAAAATGTTTGCTTGCAGAAGCTGCAAAAAAGAATTTCCCACCCAATGAGAGAAATGATCTCATTATTGCCAACTCGGTAAAAGAACGGTTGAAATATTCAAAGACGAGACAATCCTACAAAAAATCTGTATAGAAAATTATTATTAGATGTGTTAGCTATTATATAGGATGGTCCTTTAAGTGTTTAAGTTTATAAGTGTCCCTCTAACTCCTTTATTATAACAGATAGAAAAAGACGAAAGTTTTAGTAATTTGTATGTAGTTCATGGTGACATTCTTAAAATTTAAATACTCTCACATTTTGACTTGAGAAAAAGTAAGGTTTTCTTAACTGGACTACCCTGTATATTTTTAGATTTTTGGAATCTGCACATTTTTCTTAATCTAGTTATGTATTACGTCATACAATCCATTCAGCAGTTTGACCAATATCGCGATACAAAAACCCAACAGTTTTTTCATTGAGATGGCAATGGAAACAATATGTAATAAACAATATATTGTCTAATAACTATAACAATAACTAATAAATATATTACTATTACTATTACTATATTATTATTACTATCGAAGATGTGTGTGTAGATTCTAAAAATAAAAAAATATACCTACAGGGTTGTTCCTTACTTTTTTCATACGTAAAAACGTGAAACTATTTAAATTCTAAACTACATAAAAGTTAACTAAAACATTTGTCTTAACAATTTTTTTGTATTGATTATAATAAAGGAGGGGGTAACGCTTTTAATACGGACCACCTGTACATGTATGTTTGTTTTTATTTAATAAATACAAGTTTTCGTTATTTTTATTTTTATTTAAATTTATTGTGGTCTAAAAAATTTATAGGTATACTGCTTGAAGAAACGGCATTAGAACTAAAATTATGTTTTATTCTAGACAATTACAAGTGTTTTTGAGATATTTGCATTTCAATTTTTAGTGTAATGAATTTAATAATTTGGTAATATTTGGGATGGCAGCACTCGCACAAATGAAAAAAAGTTCTTATACAGGCCCCATGGTACAGTACAGATAGTATATCATACTATAAATAAAATAGTTCCAGGTCCATGTTTATAAAACTTCTTCCTGGTTATTGAGTATACATTATCAGAAACGACAGGTATTTCACTGATCCTTATAATTAACAGAGAAAAAGACATGGTTAGATTTAAATATATATATACATTTTTTTGCATTAAGGTAAGTATGGTTAAGTCATATTTTACTCTAATGAATTTATTATTTACTTATGAATCATCCTGTAGCATATTGTAACCCTTATGACTTATCACTGACAATTATTGAGTTGTATTTTACATATTCTAGTTTTCTTTATTTTAAATTTAATACATTTCCCTGTATTTGATTCCACATTAAGATATTCGAATTAAATAAAACCTTATATTATATTTCTTTAATTGAAAGTTCAGTGATACTTCAGAAAGATATTCATCTATCCAAAAAATTTTGTTTGTTGTTTTTAGGTGCTTATAAAGGGTTGGTTATTTGTTGTCAATTGACCCCCGCTTTTAGTTTTAATATTTCCTTATTGAGAAACAAATGTTAAATACAAAAGTTGCAGATGTTGAACTCAGTTCTTAGTGGTGTTCAGGATGTTCTGGAAAAGATTAGCAAACTAAACTTAGTTTACTATGATCTTTCAGAACACTCTGATAAAGCTCAATATTACCACAAAGAACTGAGTTCAGCATCCACAACTTTTATATTTAACATTCATTTCTAAATAATTGAAAGAGGGGTCAATTTATAACCAATAACCCACTACAAATTTTTAGTTAATAAACGTTGCACATTCATCAAAATAAGCACTGCTATTAGACGTTATTTAAACATTGTTTAAATAACGGATTTATTGCGTTGATTTGATGGAAAAGTAACTAATATTATCACAATTATTGTTATATCTTTTAAACGTAAATAAGGGTTACTGATTTATGTAAATAAGCACAGATAAATTACGTTGTTTAAACGTTATTAAATATATATTTTCTTAGTAAATTTGAATGTTGTATGAAACGATACTTAAAACGTCTTTTTAAATCAGTTTGTTCACGTTAATGAACATTGCATGCTGATTAAATATAAACGTTGTACGCTTACTAGAAATAAACGTTGTACGCAAATGTTGATTTTTAGTTGATTCAAAAGTTGTATAAAACGTCTATCTCCGGGACATTTTGCGTTTGTTCAACGTTAGAATAAACGTTTCTTAAACATTTGGTTATGGTTTTTTTAAACGTTTTTTAACGTGATCATGTTTACTGGGTATTTTCAGAATAGTTTCCGCTTTACCTGAATATATTTTTAAATAAGTCTCATTTTCTTGCTCCTTGAAAGGTTCCCCTATTATAAAAAATCTGCCGATACTCTAATTATTAAAACATTAATATTCCGCATTTTAAAAACCAAGTCGTTTATTAAGTAGTCGTTCTTCATGCAACAGTACGTACCGCAAATAGCAAAGCTTCCTCTTCCTATAACTTAACACATTTTTATGCACTAATACTAGACTTACTATTATTGGTAAAATAAGATTTCTGGTATCAAAAAACTTCATGTCGCAAGATTTTTTAAAATAATTTTTTTTTTGAATTTGTTTGAAAATAATTTTCTATGCCAATAACTTTTTTGACTTTTTATTATTACCTACATGATATTTAAGATCGTATTTAGAAGAAAAAATTGTTATATATTTTCTTTAAACGAATACTTTGAGTTATTATAGATTTATTCAAGTGTCTTTAATAAAATGTAAGATGCCTTTTTTGTTCAGTTCTAAACATTAAACTTTTAGAAAAAAAAATACATTATGAAACTACATCTCTTGATTGTTTCTTAAAAAATATTTATTTAAAAAAANCCCCACTTAGGGGGTTGAAGATTTTGGTATGCTTTTTGAGCCAAAAGTTGTCCCCCTCAGAAACAAATTTGACCTGTTTTTGGATTTTGCCGAAAAGTTCTTTACTACCCTGTAATGCCTTGCGGTACGTTTTCGATGGGCTACCCTGTATATCATTACCTCCCCATTGAATGTTAAGCTTCGTACAGACCTGAACACTGCGCCGAACAACAAACAGGTCGCAGAATGGGCTGGAAATGGGCTTTTAATTTTAAGCGAACCAAACAACCAAAAGTCAGTCACAGTCAGGTACACTTTATAAAAGGCAGAAAAAGCAGTATTCGATAAAATATTTAGCAGTGTATCAGGGGAGGCCTGTGATCTGTTACTTTCACGCGTTTCATATTTTTATTATTATTCAAGGGAACACGAGTCGTTTTCAAGGCGTTTATAATGTGCGCCTTCTGGTTCGGACGTGGTTTTTGATATTTTATTGTGTTGTAACGGTTGAATTTATTTGTAGCTAAGCTTTTTATTTCAGGAAAAGCTGAGTGTCAGTCATTTTCATATATTTCGTTTCATATGTGTAAGTTTCTTTTCTATTTTGATGTATACCATCGTCTGTTAAAACTTCGGCAGTCAAACCTCTGACAAACTGTATTCTTCTGGTAGGTGTAACATGGTTATTTTATCTGTCAATGCTTGAAACGGTTTTAAAGATTAACAAATGTTTCGATTGTGTGATCTACTTGTTTAGCCACACCTATTTCCACACTTTTCCAATCTCTCCTTCGCAATCACCGCAACGGCGCCTCCAGCGAGTCCGCGTCTGTTTTCCAATCGCGGGATGCACCGAACCGTACATCTCCACGCTTCTCGCGAAATAGAGCAGCCGCTGATTCAGATGATACGGCACGGAGAGGGTAATTTCATACAAAAACGTGACCGACGCCAGAGCCTGGGTCTAGCTCTTGCGGAAAGCCCTCGAGGATCGCGTGTTATACAATGCGATGCATGGGGTTGTATTCCCTTTTCTGTTGTTGTGAAGGACCTGGAAATGTGCACGATCATGTCCTTTATACCGGAAGATGCGATATATGGGGCGTTTCGTGCAACTTGCACAGACACGGCCTTTTTTTACATCTTTGGAACAAATTCGAGAGGATACAACTAGATCCAGATGCATCCTAATGAATTTTGATAAGGCGTTGTTGTTTACGAAATTGTCCATTAAGGAAGCTTTGAAGAATCTCCTCAAATGATAATCGCAGACCACAAGGATGAGTATTTAGTGGATTTATGGGCCAGATGGACTCTGACCAGTATCCGCATGGAAGCTTTCGAGAAGAGAGCCCTGCATAGAGTCAAAAACGGCCTAGAAATAACCTAATGCTTTTTACTCCAGTCGGGTTAGATAAAAAAAGGGCTTAACCGGGAAAAAATTAGGGACCACAATTTTATTGTTCTAACCTTTAGGGGGGGTCAATAGTAGTGTAAATTCAGAATCGCGACTGAATTCCACTCAGCCGCCATCTTGAATTTAAGGAAAAATCGTTTTTGCTCAATATCTCGCCCATTTTCAACTTTACAACAAAAATGGTAAGGACTCAAGTTGTTGCAAATGCGATTTCCTACAACTTCCTTTATTACAAATTTTATCGTGCGATCGATATTTTTCAAGTTAAAGGGGAAAATAGTGACAAAGTATAATTATGGAATTATCTCGTTTGTTATTGACTTTACGACATAAATGTACATAAACAAAGTTGGAAAGAATTATATTTTCTACAATTTTGATCCCTTTGATTTTTTCGCTATAACCAATATTTAATGTCCTACGCTTGCGGTCAAGACGCGAGCGTAGGACCTTGCGGGAGTTGGTTGCAAAGGAATTGTTTTTGCTCAATATCTCGGCCTTTTTCAACTTTACAACAAAAATGGTAAGGATTTAAGTTGTTGCAAATGCGATTTCCTACAACTTCTTTTATTACAAATTTTATCGTGCGATCGATATTAAGGGGAAAATAGTGACAAAGTATAATTATTGAATTATCTCGTTTGTTATTGACTTTACGACATAAATGTACATAAACAAAGTTGGAAAGAATTATATTTTCTACAATTTTGATCCCTTTGATTTTTTCGCTGTAACCAATATTTAAGGTCCTACGCTTGCGGAGACGTCAGGCCTATGGAATGTTGATCCCTTGAGTTTAGTTAGGCTTGCCATAGGCGTAGGACCTTAATTTTTTTTTTTTATTATATATTTCCTTAAATTCAAGATGGCGGCTGACGCAGGGGTGGAATTCAGTCGCGATTCTGAATTTACACTACTATTGACCCCCCCTAAAGGTTAGAACAATAAAATTGTGGTCCCTAATTTTTTCCCAGTTAAATGACAACCCGGCTGGGCTATTTATACATCGAAATACATGACCCACGTTCAGTTCTCAGAAGATATGGATATACCAAGAGGAATATTGAACAAACAGTAAGATACCTAATAAAATCAAGAGCCTCGAAACGTCACAGCCATAATTTCTTTTCAAGAAAAGAGCGATATGCCTCTCAAAACGTCAAAATGTGAACCGATGACGTGGCAAACAGTCCAGAAATTATTCAATAAATCTATTAAAAAAATTGCTAAAAATTATTGAAACTTGATGAATTTCTGAATAGGATCCATGACCTTCCATCCTCTGAATAGATAAGGCAAAGTTTAGTTAAGTAGAAATTATCAACATTCCACAATCTTTCCCAAAATCTCTCGCTTTGAAACAAGTTTGCTACACAAGTTGCCGAGGGCAGATTTGTACATAATTTTAAACGAGATTTCCAGTGACACGCACCGGAATTTCCAGTACCTACGCCTTATCCCTTTTACTTCCTTAAA